TGGATTTGGATCATAAGACTCCACACCGAAGTAATCTTTGGTGTGCCATATGTAACGTACCACTTTGTTGTAATAACTCTCGAAATTGTTTTTTAGAGTTTCATAAAAAATGAAAAGGCTATTAAAACTCTGCAGGGATGGGAAATGTTTCTGCAATAAATAATCCTGCAGATTGTTATCGTGATGGAATAGGAATTGAAAAGGATTAATATAAGGCACTCATTAATTATCAAAATTTTTGTAAGATGAATGATGTTAGCAGAATATCTCAAGTTGGTTGTTGTTATCAAAATGGTAATTGGAATATAATTTTTAGATGCTTATTTTATAATAAAAAGCATTTCATTAATTTGACCGTTTGAATTTTTTAAATTTACGTTTATTAATTGTTATGTAATTGTAATGTAATACATTGTAGTTAATTTCATCGCTCTAATTATTTTGAAAACAAAAAAATTTATTATGGATAAGTCCCCGCATTTCATACGATGTTATTTCGTAAAAGTCTGTACTACTTATATTTAAATTTTCAAAGCGATCTAGAAGCTTTGACCCAACAAAATACTCTTTAATAAAAACGCACCATTTTCTGGGTAATTTGGGTTTACGCCTTTCGTTTGCGTCACATGCTATGTGCAATGACATAACAGTTGCACGATCACATGATCCGAGTTCCCGTGAGTTGTCCTAGGATTCGATATGCATTGATGATGGCCGTATCCAACAACCAAAAAAAAAGCAGTATCTAGTTTCTTCGTACCACTTGTTGCGTACAGTAATATGACCATAGTTGATCCGCAACATCTACACTATTTATGTGATGGTTGTAATTGTCTATTACCCTGGGAATCCTTAGCTTTTTTTTTGGTTGAGACCCAAACACCGCACATACTTTTGCCGCATTGGTGCTTGTTTCTCTCGGCCGCCGTCTTTCACGTTCAACTTCCCAATGTTCACCAACAAGACCGTGAATTGTTGACAGCATTGTAACCAGACCATTGTCCTGCCAAAACACAGCCAACACTCTATTTACTGTAACACCAGAACATACATCCCAGTCAAGTCGAAGTTTCTTATCTATCTTCAGTTCTTTAGGGAACTCAGATGCTGTTGTTCGAACAGTACTGCAAGCGCCAATTTCAACTTGCCGACGATTCTGAAAAAAAGAAACGTTAGAAAAGTAATTATCCATATAAATATTAAATGGAAATCGATGATACGGAAGTTGCATAACAAGATGATGGACCATGCAACTAGTTTGATTGAGCCCTTTTACTTTTTGCACATTACTTGGGGAAACACGCGATGTCAGCAAAAAAGTGAATGTATATCCGGATTCACAAAGCGACAACACCTTAAACCCCTCTGAGGTTGGTTTGTTCTTGATTTTAATAGTATGAATACTTTTTCTAGAAAATCTAATCATCATCTTGTCTACTAAAACATTTGAATTTGGTATATAAAGTTGCTTCGAAACATTACAGACATGTAAAAGTAATGGTTCTAGCTTATCAAAATAATAATAATAATTAAAAAAATTATAACAAATAATAATTTAATTTTTTTTTTTTTTTAATGTTAAGGTGACCACTTTGGGGTCTGGAACGTTTTATTAAACTTTGGATCGAATGTCAGGCAGCCACAGGGCTACCCCTGACTTTGTTACATTAACGAGAATACATACTAGCTATATGTACAACTTTTGATTGTCTATTTAAGCAGTCTTGTATATGTAACCTATATGAACTACACTAGATGTCATACCTGTAATTCACTATTACTTGAGTTACCCAATTAAACCCTCTGATCAACTTAGCGCCATCAGGATATTCTCCTCAAAGAGAGAACTGCCACTAAGATCCTTTAAGACTACTTTATCCTCGTGGTAAACCTACTAGAGCGGTCTATATTCCACACATGTATCATCTAGATTTTCGGTAACTTACACCTAGGCCGCAGCCAAGTACTTGCGGCTTTTTACTTCCACTACTATTATCTACTCTGTGCTCTTGCAAAGTTTTCCCAAACCCTAGCATCCACTTTACAGACTATCAACAGTACTTCGATACTAATCATTGATGTCCCAAACTTCCAATTCAGATGGCCTGGAAGGGACCAGTGGGCGTCCTCTGATATTTCGAATGATCCTTTTTCCTCTGGCTGATCTGGCAGCCTGGTTGGTGTAGTGCTTGCCAAACACTTGGTCCTCGTTCAGTTTGCCTACGGTGTCTGGTTCCTAAATAATAATC